CGCCAATTTTGAGGATTTTGGAGACAAAATATGGTTGTCTCCACACAATAGTTACACCATTTGGTTGTGCTCTGTTTTGACGTGAGTCATAGAAGTTTTTATCGCTTAATGCGGCTTTTGCACTGAAACCGTGAGTATTCTTCACTTCAGGAAAAGAAACACCGTTTTTCAATCATGCCGGTACATTTCAGTTCCACGAATCATCACATTGCATAGGCACCTAGTTACATCACGTCTGAAGAGAATAACCCTTCAGATTTTAGAAGATTGGATTCCACATAATAAGTTGAATTGAAAACCCTCAAATATTCGGAGGTAATGTATCTTTTTTTTTCTTCTTTGAAAATGCTCTTTCTTTCATCTCGAATCGGCATTTTGAATTCACTTTGTCGTTTTATATTCCTAGGGTCCTCGTAATAGGAGAACTAGTCCCATATGTGGATTTATCGCTGAAGATATTTTGATTCACCATCTATCGAAGTCCATTGAAGCCCATAATAGGTTGATAGTATTGGAGATGGTATTGGATGCTGTATGTAGCAAAAAAAAAAGATGCTTGTTAGCAGCTGACACCTGGTAAGAGGATATTTGTCCAATTTTTTTTTTTATCAAGACCGATCACTGGGGAGCCGAACGGAACCAACAACAAAGTTGAGAATAGTTTACATAACACAGGTTTACATAATACAACGCCTTTAGGAGTTGACTCCAAAGTTGAATACCTACTTATATATAAATATTTCTTGTGAACTGCATATAGCTATATGGAGGGGGTTATTTGAATCATACACTTTCTTGTTCTCGTAATTCAGAGACGAAACTCAGTCAGGATTATCGATATATTATAATATACGATTGTTGATATATTATAATGTTCCATAATAATTATTTATTATTACTAAATTATTATTATTAAATTATTGAAATCTGGTATCTATATGTCATTCATCTGCATTATCGTCCCGTTTTGATAAATTTTCTTGGTAACACAGAGTGAGAGTAGAACTGAAACGGGTGGCGCCCTATTATTTTCTATATCTCTAATTTTTTTTGTGCTTATTATGGTTGTGTACCCACACCATCTCTACTGAGCGAACCGGCTATCACTCTGGCCAAGAATTAGGTACCTCATTTGATCTCTCAATTACACTTTCTTCATAAATATTTGAGTAATATATTTAATGCAATTTTATTGAAAAACACCCGTTACACTGTATCTCAAAAGTTGAGACTTATGGGACATACGTTAGTGGGAAGTTTTTTTTTGGAATGCGTTGAAGAATCACCCCCTTGAATATTAGCATGTCTTTAAGGAATGTCTGTATTATATTTCAGTGTGAAAATTTCTCACCGAATATCACTTTAGCTTCAATTAATATCCGGGAATTTTTTCTCCAACAGGAACATTTATAAAATTCGTGTTCTCGAAAAAATTTCCGGTAATAATTTAAGCTCTTATTGTGGTATTATAAGTGAAAATTCTTTTCGAAATTCGACTTGGGCGTTAAGTTTTGCTTCAGAGATTATGAAAAATGGACTTCTCGGTCGGAGACATGTATTTTGCTATATGTCTTATGTGACTGTTTGTCAAATTAATCGCTGAAATTATATATAGGCTTATTACTTCAGAAAAATTCAATGAGGAAAGTTCTTTCAGCGATATTTTTGAAAAAACGTAACTTTTTGACGTGACTCCGACCGACTAGGGCATTTTGATCCATTTTTTTGTAGCAAAACTTGATGGGTCGAATCTTGAAATAAATTATTGATGAAAGTAATTCCCATATGATGCCAACTTTATGAATAACACTGTATGTAGAATGATAGGCAGTGTTAGTTATCCAACAATAATACCAGAGAAGAAATAAAAAGCGATTCACTACCAGGGGCTCATGAAGTTTTTTTTTTTTGTTTTTGGCATTTTTCAATAAACTCCATGCATATGTATTCTGTCTACCTAATTATGTTGATGAAGATGAAAAAATTTGAAAATATGATTCCTACAATTATTTCATTATTTGAATCTGTATTTCAAAAATCGTCTTGTTGGCTTATGTCTTATGTTGGATTATCTATAAAACTCTGTATATAAAACTGGTTATCGGTTTTTTGATCTTGTTTACCAATTTTGATGTAGGTGACTAATATATTTTTAAGCTAACTCGTTAACTATATAGGTAGGTACTTCTGCTATAACTTCTACTCTCAGTAGACATTATGATAATTATTCACGATTCTTCAATTTATTTGGTAAGCATTTTGTGATAAATTAACATTCTGAAATTATTTTACTGTTATGTTTTTCAATTAGTAATAAAAAACTGTTGGTCAAGATGAATCTTTCATTTTGGAGAAGAGTTGGTGTAGGATCGCTGAAGTTCTCGCAAATGATCTAAGTTTGTTGGCAATCAACTTATTTGAATCCACTAAAATGTACTTTGTCGTAGTGCCTTCAAATTTGGTAAACATCAGGATCCTTTTAAGGGATGCCCTATCTCGGAAACCCATTGAGATAAGAACAAACAAACTGCAGATTCATGCTTAGCACATCAGGAACACCCTTAATGCAATTTTACAGCTCATTCGGACATTTTGAAATTAATGAGAAAAGTTCGAAGGGGTTAAACCTCTTATTGTTTATTTTTCATACCTAATAAATAAAAAGTGAAAAAAAACTTTTTAATAAAAAGCTTTTATTTAAACGCTCTAAAAAGAAGAAAATAAAATGTTTCTTAATTTGAACTATCAACTTATTTCCTCATTATACACAATTTATATGATCATAAAAGTTTGTCGCGCGATCCACTTGTGTGAATGAACTACTTATTTAATTATGTAAAATCTGCTGAGATAAAATTTTTAAAATTACAATTTAATTAAATATTGATCATCGCGACAAGCTTTTATTATCATATAAATTGTGTATAATGAGGTTATAAAATGATAGTTGAAATTATTAAGAAAAAAATTATTTTCTTCTTTCAAGAGCGTTTAAATAAAAGCTTTTTTCAAAAAGTTTTCTTTTACTTTTAATTTTTTTAATTTTTAGTTATCGCTAGCTGGATTTTTCGATTTACTCTCAACGAGCCTCTTCATTTGATACCCATATTGTAGAAGTTTATTGAAAATAATCATTCCGCCATCTTGGATGGTCCGCCATAATGGATTTAGAATGACGTCACATTATTTTTCGAATTAATCTCAACGTGCCTTTTCATTTGATACCCATATTGTAGAAGTAAATAGCAATTCCGCCATCTTGGATGGTTCGCCATATTGGATTTAGAATAACGTCACATCATTTCTCGAGTTACTCTCAACGTGCCTTTTCATTTGATACCCATATTGTAGAAGTAAATAGCAATTCCGCCATCTTGGATGGTTCGCCATATTGGATTTAGAATAACGTCACATCATTTCTCGAGTTACTCTCAACGTGCCTTTTCATTTGATACCCATATTGTAGAAGTAAATAGCAATTCCGCCATCTTGGATGGTCCGCCATATTGGATTTAGAATAACGTCACATCATTTCTCGAGTTACTCTCAACGTGCCTTTTCATTTGATACCCATATTGTAGAAGTAAATAGCAATTCCGCCATCTTGGATGGTTCGCCATATTGGATTTAGAATAACGTCACATCATTTCTCGAGTTACTCTCAACGAGCCTTTTCATTTGATACCCATATTGTAGAAGTAAATAGCAATTCCGCCATCTTGGATGGTCCGCCATATTGGATTTAGAATAACGTCACATTATTTTTCGAATTACTCTCAACGAGCCCTTTCATTTGATACCCCCATATTGTAGAAGTAGATTAAAAATTACCATTCCGCCATCTTGGATGGTCCGCCATATTGGATTTAGAATAACGTGACACACCTTATCGTGCATTGTAATCCAAACTGAACGTGTATACACAATTTCAGCTCAATCGGTTGAAGATTTCTACTTCAAAATTGAGTTCAAAGATTCCACCCGAACATACATACATACATCCATACAAACATACAATGCAAGTTAAATAAAAGCTTTTAACTTCTAAAATAGTGTTGAACTGACTCAAAAGGCCTCTACATATCCCCCCATAGGTACGTACGATGTTCCAACGAACATTATAGGAAATTCCGTTCGTGCGGTCCAAGAGATAAAAACATTATTGTTAAAAACATTCAGAAATAAATGATTTCTTTAATGTTAGATTGAGGACCATAAAGTTGAAATATACAAATCTCAAATATATATTTTACATACAATGCACGAAGTTTGTACTTCGCGCACTGCTTCGTACATGATGGTGTCGTGGTGACGTAGGAAACTGAAAAAAAGTGTCACTTCGCGATTTATTGTTATCAATGCGCGAACCTTGTTGTATCTTGACGTTTATAGAAAAAGTCAATTTTTATCATATGGCCTTCAAATTTCATATACAGGGTCCTCAAGAAATGCCGGTACCTTCAATGAAAAATGGCTCGATCTAGTACCTCCGACTGGAAATCGATATAATGAAAACTACTGAATTTTTGGCGGAACAGAATCGATTCACGAATCTTGCCTACGAAAATATATTCTTTGCCGTCATTTCAGCGATCTTTCAGACTTTTTTTCAAATTTTTCGACTGCATGCAGATATCTCCATCGGGAACCATATAAAGATAAAACACCCAGCACATCGAGAACACCCTGTATGTAAGTATGAAGAAAATTCGAAGGGTTAGTTAACCTTACTTTTTCAGACCCAAAATTCAACTTAGTTGTAGTGCCTTCAAATTTGGTATACAATAAATTTCCTAGTGCAGATAAGAAAACTGAGCTATCCAGCTTCAATAAAAAAAAAAAAATCATTTTCTACTCACTTTCCTCTCTGCGATTATCTAGATATTGACTACAGCTAGAGTCCAGATTATTTATTGTTAAGCCACATTGATATATCACTCTAGAAAATAATGGGCCAATAAGTCATTAGAAATTTATAACATACGATCTATCCCTAGAGATAATAATAGGGTCATTATTATTTTCATCAATCAGTATATTGCAAATAGATTTTGGAATAAAAAACACGTCTATGCAACAAGTCGCTTCTTTTTAATTTTGTCTCCTACTACAGTATCAGCATGTTTTTTTTTCTTACGCCCTTGTTTCGTCTCAGTCACAAATTCTTCCACTACTTTTTTCTTTTTTTTCTTCTTCCTCTCACCGTCCGTGACGACCTCCATATTCTCGAAAATATTTTCGTATTCTTCGTCGACCTTCTCGTCGTCCTGTACCTCTTCTTTGGGTTCTTCCTTCACAACGGGTATCATCAACAGACGAGTCAAACTTTGTTTCATATAAACCTAGAATAAAATATATAGGCACATATAACAGAACACATATAGAGAGTATTTCCAGAAAATCAACGTTTCATTGGAGGAAAATACAAACTGGAATTAAGTCAATTCTCGCTCTTTTTATTATTTCAAGTGGTGCACTGTATATTATTTCTGTTTTATTAATTCATCTCAAAATTAACTTTCCAATGATTTATCACAATTGACACATTCAATTATAAATTCCAAGAAGATGAAGAAAAAAAACCCCAAGTAAAATTTCAAGTGGAAAAATAATTACAGCTTGAAATCAATGTTTCATCAGGTAAAAAAAGTCTACTGCAATTTTCGAATTATATAAAATATACAGGTTGTAAATTGTAGAAATCATCCATACTCTAATAAGTGGTCCAATGTATTTTGAAAGAAAAGCACAAATTTCAAAGTCGGTCGACCACACTTTATATACAGGTTGTCATTTGAAATAATAAAGTGAGAGGCATTTTCTGTTGAAAATGAACTTTACTTTGCTCAAGTGTGTTCATATCGAATTTCAGATTTTTATTTCCAGTGATGAATTATAGATATTCAACAGGCGTATTCTGGGAAATCCTGTACCTAGTACCTAGTAGTAGTAGTATTGTGGGGAGGCTGTAGCCAGGCAAGTAGGCCCCCATGGGCCCTTTTTGCCAACCCCTGCTCTCCACATATCTACACATCCCTCTTTTAGTTGTCCTTTTCGAACCTTCCCGTCCTTCTGATGAAGGTCAGGATGTCCGTCCACTCTAATTCGACCAAGTCTTCCTGTTGTAGTTTATCTACTCCAACGATTTCGAATCTCATCCTTCCATACGCCTCACACTCTCCGAGGAAGTGAAGTGATGTCTCCTCATCTTCTCCGCACTCACGGCAAGTGGGACTATCTTCGACACCTATGAGTGATAGGTGTCTGCGTAACCTGTTGTGCCCTGTCAGTATCCCCATAAGAAGGCACAGGACTTGGCGATCCCTGCCCAGTAACCAAGCCGTCCTTGGCTTGCTTGGACCGGCCACCAGGTCTCTCGATTGCCTGCAGCCGACTATACGCCTCCAATATACTTCTAGTGCCTCGTCCGCCCATTTGTTAAGGGCAGACGAAGTTTGGCTTCTTGTTATCCCCAGAACGGTGTCGCGGATCCGATTCTAGCCAGCTCGTCGGCCACCTCGTTCCCGGGCACCCCCCTGTGCCCATACTAGTTCGACTTCCTTCTGTTCAGCTACTTTCTCAAGAGCATCGCCACATTCCGGCACCAAAGCTGAGCTTGGTTTAGGATGGCAGACAGCCCTGAGAGCCGCCTGACTATCCGAGCAGATGTAAATCTTCTGCTCTGGTCCCTCTTTCACCTCTTGCCTCTCCGCTACTGCCAGAATGGCAAAGACCTCGGCCTGGAAAACTGTGGTATACTTTCCAATTCCAAGAGCGTAGCTCTCCCTTATGTTATGCCTATTCCTTCTAGGTAAATTCCTGCACCTGAGTCCTGTTTGTCAGTTAGGCGCGATCCGTCCGTATAGCATACTAGACTCCCCGGGCGGAATTCCACTCTGTTCTCTTCCCATTGTTCCCTGCTTGGAATAGTGAGGGTGAACCTTCTATTCCATCTCAGCCTATTTTGGGCGTTCTTCACTCTTAGGGTGGAGATAGGGATCTCCTGCTCCACCCATGTCGCAATTTCCGCATGACCTGTCACTGCTCCTCCGTTAGCCCAACTCCCCGAGTCCCGCATCCTCAGATAGGCCGCCATTGCTTCCCTCTTAATCCAGATTGGAAGCGGCGGCAGCCCCAGCAGTACCAATCCTGTACCTATTTACCGGGTGTCCCAAGTTATCGTATACAGGCAATATCTCGCTTATTCGACAAGATAGATGAAAGTTGAAAAATTCCAAAACATAAAAAACCATTATATTTGACAGTTCTCTGGCAGCTACCACCCACATTTTATTTTTACATGGCATCCCCTGTATATTTTCAGTGGAAATTACGTGCCACTCAATTTGGAATACAACGATAGCATATATACTTTGGTATGATAACAAAAATATCAACATTTTGTGACTTTTTTCTCAATTATCCTTATAAAAATGAAATATTGCCTCCGCTCATGTTTTTTGTTTCAAGAAGCCGATGCTTCTTATGTCATAATAATTTTGAACACTTGCTGTGATTTTTAGTTCATTTTTTGATTCACATGAAAGCTATATTTCAGTTGAAATTCAAACTTAATTGAATGTTGCTGTTTTTGTTATAATAATAGAAAATGCCAAGTATATGCTATCATTGTATTCCTTATCTGATGGCACGCAATTTTCAATGACAATATACAGAGGGTGCCATTTGAAAATGAAAAGTAGGGGATAGCTGCCAGAGAACTGTCAAAGTCAAAGATTTGTTTATATGTCATGAGGAAAGTACCTACTTCAATGCCATTCAATGCAGTTTTCGAATTTTTCAATTATCATGTCAAGTAAGCGAGAAATTGCCTGTATACGGCGATAACTTGGGTCACCCGGTATACAAGCAACAAAATGAAAAATAGCTGATGGTCTCTACTATTATTGAGTTATAAGTCCATAAGACATATTATACATAAAATTCAACTACAAAACCGCGACTGTAAATTTGAATAAAAAATCACAAAACTAACCTACTAACATCCATGAATACATTCAAATTGTAGATTTCAGGAGCGCATCAATGTTTTCTTTTTTTGTTTGTTTTCGATATAACGTCAAAAACATAAATTGACAAAATTTAAATAATTTTTTAACACAAACAGAAGGATCAAAATTGGGAGTTTAGGGGCGTGTTCCATTAAATGTTAGTTTATTAAAAAACTAGCTTTTACCCGCGGTTTCGCTCGCGTTGAAGTTGTCTGAAGAGGCGTTGCAGCAGCTCTCAAAAGTCTCAAAACTCTTTGTCGCCGTGCTTGCTTTTGTCTTCTCAGCTGTGCGTGAGCTGAAGATTCTTTATTTCGTGCAACTTTCGCTGCACGGGCCTGTGACGAACTTCTAGACAGATTAGATTTACGTTTCCGAGGCATTTTAAGGAAGAACAGAGAAAAATATATCAGCCAGAAATAATTAACACTTAACCTCAAAAATTGCAAAAATTGAAATAGTTTTATAGCGTCTTCACCACTCCACTGATGAGTGTATATTCACCTCTGTTTAACACATGCGAGTAAGAAGGAAACATCCTTATACATTTGTGGTCTGTTCATAGAAATAACTTATATTTAATTTATAGTTAATGAACAAGAAATACGCTTGCCGAGAAACATTAATATGGTTATTTTCAGATGTATATATTGGTACAACTGACGCTGATGCTCAATGCACATCTTATTTTTAACAGTTTTTTTTTAGTTGTAATTCAAAGTTGGTAACAGGGGGCGATAATGAGAGCTAACTTTATTTATTGTCCACAATGATGGAAGTAAGATATGGTGTAATTACTGATGCGTTTTTGTTTTAGAAATTTTACTGGACCTCTCCAGAGCAGCGAGAGCAATGTTTCCGTTGATCTTCTAATAGATGGCGACATTGCACAATTATAACATCTGTCAGTTTTGAAAATGTCACAGATTTTTCGAATTCAGAGTTGAACAATCCCACTGTTACATATGTTCCGCATATCTTAAATGCCATTTGCCATTTCATTTCCACTTGTCACAGCAGCAATAGCAGCATCAATATCTAGCGGGAAAATGTAGAATCAACGTCTCGCTCGTTGTGACGTAGAGAAATCATAGTAGGCCGGTCAAGTGATTTTTCTGAAATTTTCAACACGTAATAATGGCCGAATGCGCGCACCATATCTTACTTCCATCATTTTGTCCACCAAACCGCGCCACCAAAAAATTAAGTCAGAACAGGAAGAGTATGGTGAAAAGCCAGACATGCCACAAGGCAAGCTCTCCCTGAGGAAAATGGAACCAACAAAAAATAGATGATGGTTGTATCGAGAGACAAAGGCCAGTAAAAAAGAAAGAAGAAGAAGAAGAATTATCGAGCCATAGGAGTGAAGTTTTGAATCAAAAGCAGTAAGCTGGAGTACTGGTACTGGTGGGGGACGTTTCCACGTCAGCAACTAGTCCCCAATGGGACCTTTTTGCCAACCCCAAGTGTTTTCAATGACTGATGTGGTTCGCTCAAAAGAGCTGGCTAACATCCTTTTCAGGCACCGCCCATCAGCTCTCTTTTCAGAGTTTTTCAGCTGTGTTTTGTAGGCTAGTAATGTACTCACTACCATATGCGCAGTGGCAGGCCTGCTAACTATCATCGTTAACCCCCGAGACCGAGGTCTACTTAAGCAGCTGGCCCGCTCTCACGCTCAGCTGGTAGTTGTTCCACACCCACCTACATACACCGTCCTACTTCTTCTCTGACGCTCACAACCACATCATCATATCTTTCTGCGTGTTCTGTGTAGGCTTTGTTACTAACTCCATGCACCACTTTAGGAGCAGCACTGTTAATTGGAACGCAACAGCGAATCGTGCAGGACTATCCCCAGCCGATGCTCCGAAACTTTACAATATTTAATTCGTAAATAAAATATTGAAAAAAGTTCCTTGCCCGTGCTGGAAATCGAACCCACGACCTTGCGGTCGTGAGACACACTTTAAATCATTTATTTGTCATCATAGTTTTTACATCACTTCGCAAATTACAAACACATATAGATATGAAAGAACATAAAACAGAACTCCTTCTGTGTGCTGTGTCCTCCGCGTGGTGCAGAGGTGGCTGATGTTGGCCAAGGAATGTGAGTGTATATGCGAGGTGTTAGTCACAGAGGCCTATCTCCTAGGGCCGAGCCCTTTATATAGGTAATTTCATCGAGGTCACCCAGGGGGGTGGGGGAGTTGATCAATCGCTCTCAGTGGTGAATAGGTTCTTCTTTGTGATGGAGGAAAATCAAAATTGGAAAAACAAAAACCTCCTTCTGATTTGTCTCGGCCAGACCTACCCACACCCTGCACCCGACTCTGGCTGTGAGGCCACTCAACAGGCCCAGGAGCGTCCGCACGTCTGACCGAGTTCAGTGTCAGTTTGTCACTCCTTGAGTGGCATTGACACTATTTTATTTGCGTTTTTTTTTTTTTTTTTTTTTTTTGGGGGGGGGGGGGGGGGTTGTGCAGTCCGGGCCCTCCTCAGAGCCCTGTAGATGTTGTTGGGCTGTGGAAGGGGGTCCCGACTATAGATTACCTGGCTCCTCAAAAACATCGGTTGATGCATATATCAGCCCATGTTTTTTGCGGATGTTGTGATGCCTTCTCGTTGTGGTCATATTCCGGGTAAGGTCACTTCCAGCGATGTGGTATTTGTAGAATTTATTGGAAATTTTCCGGATATAGTCACTGACTCTAGGCAAATTACCACATCTCTCGTGGAGATCTGCCACTCGTGAGTATCTATCACCGTTGGTGATAATACGGAGTACTTTGTTCTGCAGCACCTGCAACCTATTCATATGGGTAGGTGGGATGCTGCAGAACACCGGACACGCATATGTCATTACAGGCCTGATGATTTGCTTGTATACCAGGACCTTGTTCTCCAACGAGAGAGGGGAGGTCCTGGATATCAAGGGGTACATTTTCTTGATGGCATTTTGTGTCTTTTGGATCAGGTAGTTAGTGTTTTTCCAGAATGACATACGGGTGTCCAACTTGACTCCCAGGTATTTCACGGGGGTGATGTCTCTCACCTCAACCCCTTTGACGGTCAAAGGTCTGCTCAACGTAGAGTTATTAACTTTTCGGTGGAAATTGATAACTTCCGTTTTCGCACCGTTGATGCGGATCTTCGACTCGTCAAAGTACGGTATGATTCCCCTGTCCAGATGGATCTGGATCTGTGCCCTGGCGATATTCGAGTCGTCCGAGTGGGCATATATAGCCGTGTCGTCGGCATACAATGCCGTACTCGTCCGCTCGAATACAGGGAAATCATGCGTGTATAGGGTATACAACAGAGGTGAGAGGCATGACCCCTGCGGAACACCTGCCTCGAGTGGAAAATCTCCCGATATACTTTCGTTGACCTTAACCCGGATTTTCCTGTCGGTGATATACGCATCAATAAGCTTAATGATAAATATCGGCATTCTAGCCTTGTACAACTTGGACATTAGACCTTCGTGCCAGACGGTGTCAAAGGCCTCTTTTATCTCATGAACAATTCGGGCCACTTGAGATACAGTACTGTGTCCTTTGCGGAACCCGAACTGTTCATGGGGTATGAGTGCGAGCTCATCTGTGTGGTGTGAGATAATCCGTAAGAGGACTCTATCCACGATCTTGGCCACCGCGCTAAGCAGCGATATGGGGCGGTAGCCATTTGTGGATTTGGGGTCTTTTCCAGGTTTAGGTATTGGTACAACAAGCCCAGTTTTGAGGCATTCTGGGTAGTGCTGGCATTTGATGATCGCATTAATCACGTAGTGGAGTTGCACTATTGCTTTGCGAGACATATTTTTTAGGAGAACCATGTCCAGACCGTCAAGCCCTGGTGCTTTATTGATGTTTAGATATCTTATGATTTCGCTTATTTCTTTTGGAGATGTTATAGTTTTACTCAGGGCTTGTCTCGGGAGCGGGATGTTGGGAAGTGCTCTAATGCGAGCTGCTGTTGCCGCCATGTCTTCCTGGACTGCACAAGTTGGGTTTTTATTGATTTTACTAATTTTTTGGAAATGCTTCCCAAGCACTATCGCCTTCTCCGGATCTGACACCGCTTCCTCGTGACCATACTCCAGGGTGGGTATGGGTGTATATTGCTTTTTTAATCTTTTTGACATTTTCCATAGAGTATTGTCACGAGGGTCTAGACTCTCCAATTTGGCTCTCCAGGAGGCGTTCCTGAGCTCTCGTATTTCAAATTCAATTTCGTTGCATACTCTCTTGAAGGCGCCTCTGGCTTCCGGCGTCTTTAGCCGTTGCCAGCGACGCCTCAGTATTTTCTTTTCGGCGATGAGCTCAAGGACTGCCTCCGGGAGTTCGACCTTATTGGGGGTCGTGAGACGGACGCTCTTCCACTGCGCCAATCCCGGCTGGAGTATGTCAATCGACGAATATTTGCAGGAAAAATAGCAGCACAAGTTGTATTCCTATGAATATTAAATATTCATGAAACGAGCGCCTCGCGAGAGTTCCGCACACTGCATCCATCATTATGGCTTCCAACATAATTGAGGGTATACACGTTGAAAATATTACCTCTGTAAAACGAGTTTGGTTGGTCACATGTAACGTGTAGCTCAATTCGGCTTCTGGAGTAGTAGACCAAGTCTGATAAATTTCAGTAAACAAAAAATATCGCTGAAATACAGGAGAATCTCCGTGAAAATGGTCGATTCTGATTGGTTCTCAAGAACAACAGTGGAATAGTCACATGAAACAAATAAATTGTAACATGCACTGATATGACGTTCACTTTTTAATGGACTCACCTTGTGCAACAACTCCTTGGTGTCTAAATTGTGTATCCTCAGGAAGCGATCTAAGCTGGCGGTGGCCACGTAGGGCTCCGCCGGATCGCAAACGATGCTCGAAACGCTGCCCGTGAACGTCGTGAACGTCTTGGAACATTTTCCAATTCGCATGTCCAAAAGCTGCATGTAGCCTCTAGTCGTGCCTACCAGACACTGCCTAAAAGAATTTCGAAATTTTTCCGGGAAGTATAATTGTCAGTCGATTAGGAACTGACAAATTTGGGAGCCGCCATTTTGAAGGTGCCATATTGGAGCCGCCATATTGGAACTGCCATATTGATTTCTGAACTTTGAGAATGAACGTAAAAGTGTTCCTATAGCATTCTGTATGATCTATAATTTTTGAAAAACTTGGTCTGTTATGTGATTGATATGGATGACAAGACTTTGAGAAGATATTTTTTATAATCATCAAATCCCCATGATCGGGTGTCTGGAATAAACTACCCGACAATAGGCGAGTGGACTATTTTTTTTTCATTTCTCAAATAGAATCATCACTCAAATACCTTTCAATTTCATATTCTTAAAATTTTTCGGTCAATTTCAAGGTGCTTAAATCATCAATAATGCCAAAGAAATTTTCAAACGGCTAGAAATTCACCGCGAGTAAAAACTGGCGTCACGGTTTCGTAAGTAAGGGCAAACCATAGCACAGTTACCATATGTTGAAATAAAAAGAAAAAACTGGATATTAAACTCCCCTAAAAATTATTTTATTTCTTTAATTAACATTTAATAATATCATTAGATAAATTTTAATAATAATTGTGAATAAGTATGTATGAATATAAATAATTATGCGTATTGAATGAAATGCTCCGTACACTATATATTATGAATTGAATACTTGTCTCATTTCTTAATGAGACAATTTTCAATTGTGATAACTTGATATTGTTAAATATTTATTGACCTATGTACATTTATTTATTTTTTATCCTTACTACAAGGTTAACTTCGTAAGGTTTTTCCTAGTTTATTCAAATTACCTTTATGTTTATTCCAATGTATATTTTGTAAACGTTTTTGAATAAACTTATATTATTATTATTATTATAATTGTTGTGGTTCAAATATTTTTTTTATGTTCTGGTTCCCACAAAAAGGGATAACCTGTAATGATCAGAGTACATTGTGAGAACCAAGGAAAATAAGGTAGGAATTGGGAAATATTTGTTATTCAAGAATTGAAAAGTTCTTAATTATTATTGGTAATATTACTAATTAGCAATTTTCTCAAAATGTTTCCTCATGTGTTGTGGCTTATTGCTCATAATAAATTTGTGCAATTAATAATTATATTATTCACACTAGAGGGCATTTGAACAGGTAAATGTGACAACACAGCAGGCGAATTGTGGGCGTGGTCTTGTCAGTTCTCAGCATTCAGCACAATGTTGCCAGGTCTCCAAAATTTACATGATATTTTGTTATGGAGTATAAGAAATATTTGGACATGCTGGTTGTTTGAAAAAGTCAAGAATGGACTATAATATCATGGGACTCTAACATGGTGACTTGGCAACCTTGCTTCATGAGTGAGAATGGAAGATTATCTGACTGATGACGAAACAGCATAAAAACTGACGTCACTGGTTGCAAAAATTAATTCAGGTTCCTAAGGACATTTATTGACAGAGAATCTGTTTAATGTAAAAACTTCACAAACGATTTTTTCTTACAAGGTTTATAATTACTTTTATATTAAGATAGGGACTCCTATAAAATCATTACTGATGTCCTAAGATGCACTATTTTTGAACTACAGGGTGTTTTCCACTTGTTTCAAGATATAATGCCCTTTGGTATGCTTACATAAGGCATAAATGGGCAGTATGCAACCAAAATTCTAATTTTAAGACACACCAAGAGACATCTTATATATACACTACATTTCAACCTTGATTTTGAGGAATGAAAATTATTGAATAGACAGGTTTGGTTCAACTCATGCTTGCAATTATTAAAAAACTTATTATTGAGCCAATTTTCAGCAAATAAAAAAATGTATGTATTGTATTTTTTTAATTTAAGCAGGGTTAAAAATATTCATTCTTTTTCTATAAACAGTAGGAAAATCACAAGAAGCTTATTGTTTTATCATATAAGTTATATTTTCTAACATGAAATAACTAATGAGAAAAACTGTCATGAAAGAAGTGCAAGACAAGAGGTGTCAATATAAATTCTCATATCCTCACTTGTGCTGACATGAGATTCAAACACTATTTTTCATTTGCCTGCCATATTAACATCCATTACAAAAAAATAATTGAACCTCAAATGAGAATTTTTGAAAGCTGATTGATCATTTGAATTATCCAAAAATCAGCTTCTTACATTCTCAATTTATTATATTAATTTTCAGTTTAGTTGATATATTTCACCATCACCAAGACAAAGCCATGTTGCAACAGATTTATTTAATGAATCACATCATTCAAAGTATTATTAGTCACAGAATAAAAATGTCAGACAATTTACTCACCTATCCCTGTATGAGTGAGCAATGCAAGTATAGCTTGCTTTGGTCTCCAAATATTTGATAGTAGGCCTCCTTTGGGCTCTGTCATCATACAACAGCACATGACCCTCCTTAGTGCAACAGCAGCTCAGACTGGGCTCAGCAGGAAAGAATGTTATTCCTCTAATGGATGTTGGAATAGGAAGATTTAGTTTGTCATGTCCTAACTAAAAAAATTGAGAATAAATTTAATGAATTTGTAGAGAGAAAACAAACACAAATAGAATACACTCATTTCCCTATAGCATAAAGAATGATACTCACAGATTTAGCCTTAAAAATACATTGCTGTGTCTCAATATCCCACAATTTGAAATCATTGAACTCTCCACCTGCTCCTAGAACATTTTCTCTTGATTTATTGAGGGTTAGGGCATCTATCTTTCCCCTATCATCCACACTAATTTTGAAATTGCTGCATTTCTTGCCATCCCATAAACTTACTGTGCCATCACTTTTTGCAATCAAAGCAGACTTGTCAATACAGTCTAGTCCTATTATACTACCTTCACCTTCCAAGTCTGGTATGCTATTTATGTATTTGTTGTTTGAACTACTGAACAAATTAACAAGACCATTGTTGAAACCTACAAATATTTCATCACTATCTCTACCAAAAGCTAGGGCTGACACTTCTGCTGCTTTGTCAGGTTTTGCGCTTCTCAAAGAATCCGGTTTATCTGAAGGAGCTGGAAGAACAGCATGTTTAGAGAAAATCCAGAGGAGAAAGCGATGGTATTCAAATAGAATGGTTGCTCACAGATAATGAATCCTCTTACGCTACCCACGAAAATATTGAATTTATTCAAATCCATGATATCAACAGTTATCACATTCACATTATTTAAAGCTGGTCAACAGAATAAGCAACAGGCAACAGCCTACAGCCAACATCAACAAATGAAATAAAATAAACATGCGAAAAAGTGAGGTTATATAGAGTTTTTCTTCTTCTTCTACATTTCTTGGCCTCTTGTCCAGATTGGACATCCAGCCAGGTTTTTCTTCTTATTATTTCTTGGCCTTCTGTTTGTTATCGGACATACTTCCATCTTTCTTCTGTTTTTTTTTATTCAACTATTTTTATCATCAACCTATATAGTTTTAAAAGTATTGATCTTAGATCATACAGGATCCTGTATGATCTAAGGTATTGATAATTATTGAATAAAAATTAAGCAGAATAAACTGAATAATGATAGATCTTATATTATTAATCATTAGAGACTTATGTACAATTGGGAAGCCAAACAAGACTAATAATATTCATGATACATCAGCCAAAGAATTTTTCCCAAAAAGGGAACTGAACAATTCATTTTTGCTTTCCTCCAGCCACAAATTGTCGTCCATGGGAGCCATGAAATTCACCAGCTTTGTATGTACAGCATACCTAATTTTTCTGCCCTTGGTAGCCCTTGTATCTATTTTCCTCTTCATTTTGCTTCTCAGACTTTGGAGTTGTATCCATTGCCGTCCAAGATGAACTGGGTCAGTTATATCAGCAGATTTCACTTCAATAAGTTCCCTCAGTAGCTGATGATAAAAATCTGTGTCATCAAAGATTTCAGGATAATATTCTCCTGATGTATTTTCTGTGGATTTTGTTGGGTTTTGATCAGATTTATCCTCACCAAGTATATCATAATCACTTTTTTTCAGTTGTGTTCTTTTTACTAGTTTTGTTTTGTCTGCCAAGGCATGTTCTATAGTATTTATGACTGAATAAGAAGTAACATTATTTTTCATCCCTGATATATTGGTTTTGTCATGCCATTTTTGAATCACACTAGTCCTATACTTTTTGTACATTTCATGTTGTTTGCTGAGTTCACTTTCAAAATCAGCTATTTTTCTTCTCTTACTAGGAACCTCATCTTCATCTGAATCTTCATTTTCTGCTACATCTTCCTCATCTGTATCACTAGGAATTTCTTCATCATCAGGATCCTCTGAAGTATTACCAATTTTCTTCAAACTTTTTGTTTCAGGATACTTGCTCCAACAAAATTTTTGTAAATCTAATAATTTGTCCAATAGCTTTGCTAGACTATCTCTTGTTTGAAAAACTTTATCTGTGAACTCACTGCCAGAATCCATCTTCATTTCTTCCCTTTTACTCCCCAATGGCAATTTATTAGCAGCTAATAAGCATTTTTGCATCTGTATTCTCATCTCTAACAAATTTTCCCAGATGCTCATTTGGTTTCTGACACAAGTACCTTTTTTCTTTTGAGAAATAACATTGTCATGCTCCATGTGCTTGAAATTACTAGACATGGAAGGTTCAGAAATATCATAATCACCATTTTCATGAGCATCATCACTCCCACCATCAGATTCAGTTAATTCTTCAGAATCTTCCCCATCCCCAGACTGTTCTTCTGAATCAGAATTCGCCTCATCTTCATCAGACCCTTGGAGTGGAGCTTCAAGTTCTGTTTCTGAATCAAAATCATCGTCACTGGAACTGACAGGGCTGCTCAGGTTTTTTCTGCTGCCCTTTTTACCAGCATATCGTTCATCAACATCAGCCAAGAGATCAACGTTTTGCTTTCTAAACTTGCTGCTTTGGTCCACATGTTCTTCAAAATCATTTTCTGAAGTAACTTTAGCGCGAGTGTCCTCATCAATTTCATCGTCCAGATCGAAATTGGACGGTGCTGTTGATAAAACACCGGCAATTTTATCAGCCAATGTTTCTTGCTTCGAAATAATCATTGTAATTAATTTCAAATGTTCATTTGTTCAAGGAATTTTTCGAGATTTTAGTGAGCATCTATCAACAAAAATAAAAATATAACCTAAAAATAGTAAAAATGTGTGACAAATGACAGTGACAGTCAAATTATCGCCGGTGTCTAAAAAACCGACAACGTGTTGAGATTTTAGCAGCTGTCTAATACGAATACCTTCACTTCACTCAAAAAATAAGTCACTATCTATCCACCTTTGTCACATCACATCACGATCACGAATCACGACACATTATTATAACCTAAAAAATTGAGGTGATGTTTGGCTTTTCTGGATTATAAACAGTTCAATTTTTGGGATTAATACAATTAAAAATGAATGGTTCCAGTGCTTATTGTATGTTGAATATCAGAAAAACACTGATATCCTTCCAGTTATCTTTTCCGAGAAATAACTATGCAAAACCTGGTAGGTGGATAAAAGAAGTTGAATTCGTTTTCAGCAGCTCTGATAAATATTTCAGGTGCTATGATGGGCGGAGCCCTAAAAAAGAAAAAACTAGGGAAAATGGGGCCCACAATGGAGAAAAAGGTGTTACCAGTAGAAACAGATCCCATCAAGTTAGCTACATTCGTTTGTGGTGCTAATATCTACAAAACTGGAGAGGAAGTGGCTCTCAAACCCAATGAAGAGTATCCTGATTGGCTGTGGGACATAAGACTTGGCTCACCACCACCTTTAGAAGAACTTGACCCTAATTCTAAGGAATATTGGAGAAGGATAAGGAAAATGGCTATGAGAAGGAATAACAAGATTTCACAGCTTAAGCAATTTTGAAAAAACAAAGTGATTTGAATTATCAATGAAGTAGGATTATACAAACTGATACCTGTCTGAAATAGGATTCGAATAGTTTAGGTTTCCAAACAATAAAAGCTTCTTGTTTTAGTTTTCCCATGGAAATGTAATATATTTTATATGTCTACATAATGTGATAAATTGTATAAAACAGAGTTTATATTTAATTTGGTCAGTAGGTACCTAAACTCATTTCTCCCTGGGAAGAATCAATGAACTATCTTTGATATTGATTGATTGATTGTCTTTATTACCCCAAGAAACATTTCTGTTTATGATAGGGATACATAAATACATATAAAAAAATAATAATAAAGGGTTAACTATAATGAATTCCACTCAGTGGAAACGAATTAATATTGTGTCATAAGATTGAAGTTATATTTCATTCCTAAGTAATCAAATCATGCCACATATTTTTCTTTCAAATTGTCCTGAGCAAGTATTTTTTAAGATTGATTTTGAACCTTCTTGCATCATGTATATTTTTTAACTCATTCGGTAATGAATTGTATAAAATTATTCCATTGTGAAAAACAGATTGTTTGCCAATGTTTGACTTGAATGTATTTGCAATCAAGTAATTCAATTGTCTAGTCCCATAATTATGGACTGTATTGACTTCATTGAAAGCTAAATTTGATATTTTCAACTTATTCCTGGCAAAATGAATAAAGCAACATATTTTAAGTTTATATAACGAAATCAGGTTCAGAAAATGTCTTGGTTTGTATAAATTTATCGTTGGTTCTAGAAAATGTAGATGAAAAATGCACTTAATTGATTTGTTTTGTAATTTCATTAGTGGTTTCAAACGTGATATATTTGTACTCCCCCAAATAGAAATTAAATATTGCAAATTTGAATAAATGAGGCAAAAGTAAATACATTTCAAGTATTTTATCGGAATAATATTTCGGATTTTGAATAAAATGCCTATGATCGGATTTATTTTATTTCTCAAATAGTCTATATGTTTAGTCCATAATAATTTTTCGTCGATATAGAGACCTAAAAATTTTGTCACGTCTGTATATTTAATTAATCTATTGTTGAAAGTTATAGCATTATTCGAAATATTAACTGATCTTTTAGAAATATACATATATGAAGATTTGTTATAATTAAGAGTCAACTTATGAATTTGCATCCATGATGATATGTTTTCCAAATCACTTGTAATATCCCGTTCAATATCATTTAATTCTTTGGATATATAAATCAATGTTGTATCATCCGCAAATAATTTTAGCTTTCCTTTCAATTTCAGAGTTGATATTGAATTGATATAAATTAAAAATAAAATTGGTCCCAGAACTGATCCTTGCGGTACTCCACATGTAATATTCTTTAGTGAGCCAGAAAGATCATTCACTTCAACATACTGCTTTCTATTTGTCAAATAATGTGTGAACCAATCATGAATTCTTCCTCTGACGCCGATTGAATATAATTTATTTAGTAAAATTGTATGATCTACTGTGTCAAATGCCTTACATAGGTCCAAGGACAAGAAGCCACATTTATAATTTTCATCAATCCGTGACTGTATATCCGAAATTACATCCATTACAGCTATCTCTGTATCCTTTGACCTACGGAATCCATATGTAGGTAATATAATTCTGAGACACTCTGCATATATGTATAGGAATGCAAAAGGATTCAAAAAGTACACTTCTAATGGAAAACAGTTTATTTTCATTATTGTATATGCAATTCATAACAGAAAAACAGTTTTTATCAAAATAACAGTGCCAACAGTGTGTACATTTTCTAAATTCATGGCAGTGTCTCATAATATACCCAGTAGTCCAGTCAATTTACTATTTTAGCATCAGACATTCCACAATGAATGAACCAGAGAATTGCCTTTTTGAATTGAAATCACAATTTTCACAAGAATATATACTGCTCAAATTGTGAATGATTTCTCATTTTTCGTTAATAATTCCCATTTTTCCTGTTTACTTCCTCTGATCTGAATTTTACATTGTTTATTCTCATTCCCATTTCAGATCATTGCATTTTCCTGTACCATTATTTCCCATATTTCTATTTTTCATCTAATTCACCTAATTTTTCTTTCATCTGATTAAGACTCACATCTGATGCTTCCTGAAATGTCCTTTGATTTCTCTCAAATTACTGTTAATTCTCTTCTCCTTATAAACATTATTTTCTTCCTGATTAGTCATTCATTCAATGAATAGGTACTGATCTCTCTCATACTTTCTTCATTTTTTTTTAGTTTCCATTCATTTCTCATGATATTCCCAAATCCCAATTTTTTTCAAGTTTATTTGATACTTTTGAGTGGCCAACCTCCCAACACAAAATATCTCACCCCCAAAAATGGTTTATTCACACAAAATCAAGTCACCAAGATAGAGAAGTTCAGTGATGAGAGAGGAAAAAATGTCTTCTCCATCTTCCCCTACTGTCCTTGTCATCAGGTTTCAAAGTTGAAAGTGAAGAACTGATGAAAAATTCCACTCTCACCTATTTTCCAGAACCTGTCAAAAATAGTCTATATGTGTGTGTGTGTGTGTGTAAAAATTGCTGAACACGTTTCTCTATGGAGTGCCTTTTTACTTTTCAATATACATTGGATCCAATGTATTGCAAAAATTGTGTTTTTGCAATAGTTTGCTGCAGAAATGGACATTTTTACAATACATGAAGAGCAATGTTTCGTAAAAACTGTTATTTTTGCTACACATTGCGGCAATGTATTGCAAAAATGAAACGTTTTTACAATACAACAACTTGCAATGTATGGTAAAAACGATGTTGAGGTACACTACAAGCAATGTATTGTAAAAACAAACATTTGAACAATACATTGCTAGCAATCTAGCAATGTATTGAAATAATTGATATAGCAAAATTCATCAAATGCAATAACCCATTTTTGAAATACATTAGATTTCATGTATTGTAAAAACAATAGATGGAGACCTTCAAGTTATCGCAAAAATTCATCACATCTACTGTGATGAAATTTTATGTATTGCAAAAATGGCAATTTTCACAATACTTCCCTTTCAATGTAGTGAAGAATATCAGTTTTTACAATACATGCATCCTAGTTTCGGAGAAACATGAACTCCATTTGAATTTGAAAGTACAAAATACCTCCATATTTTTCAGCTATAGGGACCTTACAAATTTAAAATCATAGAGAAGTTTCAAATCATACAGGTTCAACAAATACAATGAAAAATTGAATTCTCATAATTTCAAGTTGGAATCCGCAAGTAATGATGGAAATAAGTGGATGGTGCGCGTAGTCGCCCATTTTTACGTATTGAAGACTTCAGAAAAATCACTCGACCGCCTACAATGATTTCTCTACGTCACATCGAGCGAGACGTTGATTCTACATTTTTCCGCTTGATGGTGATGCTGCTATTGTTGCTGTGACGAGTGGAAATAAAACGGCAAATGGCATTTTAGGTACGCGAAAAATATGTAACTGTGGGATTATTCAACTCTGAATTCGAAAAATCTGCGGCAATTTAAAAAATTGGCCGATGTCATATAATTGTACAATGTCGCCATCTATCCGAAAATAGCTAAAAACATTGTTCATGGGAATCTCGGGAGGTCGAGAAGAATTTCTGAAACAAAAGCGCTTCAGTAAGTACACCATCTACCACAGCCGTCTTCAACTATCTTTTGTGGTTGAAACCCTGAATACAAGGTCAGAAGAAGAAACTTATTTTTTTCTATTTCAAATCTAGCTGAACTTCTCTATTCACGGTAGCCAAGGTCATCATCTGACTTGCGATGACTGGAAAAAATTCATAACTCCTGGATTAGATTGAAAGCTAGACATGTTTTCCCGTAGCTATCCCGTGGCTATCGGGATTACCTGATGGAATGTTTAAGCGATTCAGTTACAACTCTTGAATTTTCTTCTTCATGTAAATGTCTAATTGCGAGTAGTCAAGCAGAGTGTTTTGGATAAAGTCGTGGAATATCTTCGGCCAGTCTCGCTCCAACATGGCCAATTTGTTCATCGAGTCGGCCATCTCGTCGAGCAGAGCGGCGATGTTCACTTTGGCTTTTTGCCGCATCGCCGCATCCTCCTATAATCCGCGACAGTAAATTAGAAATCAACTAGGCAAAAGAA